ATGAGCCCTTGATAGTTTATAAATGGGTATTTTGTCATTTCTTGCCCTGTCCGACATCTCCCTTCATCCACTTTTCAGTTGTCTGTCCCCCAGGGCCAACTTAACTCTTTACTGGAGTAGAAAGCCCCGTCTTCTCCCTCAGAGGCTGGTGATTTCAAACTGATGACTCTGAAGTTAGCAGCTCAACTCCTAACCACTACGCCACCAGGACAACAGGCCCCGGGAAGACTGGAGCCCCAGGAGAGTGCGTCCATATCCATGGGGGACGGGGGAGGACAGTTGCAGATGTCCCAGAATGTCATGGAACCTGTTTTGCTGTCTATACTCTCAATACGAACAAGACGAACTCCACAAACGGTAGGGGCATTAAGAGAGCTGTCAGTCAATTGCAGTGTGAGAGCTGCCCTTTGATCTTGATTAGAGAATAAAGCTGTAGCTAAAATGATGGCATTGGGGAGACCAGTGGAAATGTGAGCAGTGGTGCTGGGTGATCACTAGGGAGGCAGGCACGTGGCCATGCACGGGGAGCATTAGTTAGGCAGTGGGACCAGCAGGTCCGTGGGAGGAGACGGGCTTTCTACACAAAAACCACAGGGGTGGCTGCCAGTCAGCATGGGCCGGATGGCGGTGAGTTTGGTCTCTGGTTTGGTGGAGTCTGGCACTGTGGGGTGAGCATTGTACTGCTAAGCTCAAGTTCAGTGGCTCCAACTCAGCGCAGGAGAAAGAGGAGGCTGCCTGTTCCCCCAACGATGGACAGCCTCAAAAGCCCTAAGGTCACTGTGAACCAGGATGGACTCATTGGCTATGTGTTTGGTTTGGGGGAATTTTTAGGGACCAAACATATATATATTTAGCAAATTTCACAAATGAAATTGTCTAACATCTGAGTTTTACTTCATACAAGTATGTATAGCAATGACTCATGTAGCGAGCCAGCCAAGCCCAGTTCTGGACGAGGCCTCAGGCTAAGTGAGATCTGAGCCCCTCCCAAGTTCACACAGATTCTCATAGCCTCTAGGTCTGGAGAGAGGTAGGGTCTGGCCCAAGGCCAGCTAGCAACTAGCCACTACCAGGTCTCTATGGCTCTACCACCACCACTTGGGGCCCACATCCCTCTCGGTCTCTCAACTCTCTTCTGCCCCTTTAACTCCAAAGGACAGATGACATGTATGTAGCAGCAAGACTCAGTTAGCTTCTGACAAATATCCCGACCACCCCACCTACCATTCAGAGCGGCCTTTCAAAATCACCCTGACAGCTTCCTGTTAGACGGGGCCACACCTTGCTCTTTTAGTGCCTTAAACACACAAGGTGTGAGCCACTTCAGGCTCCCTGTACACACCAGTTCCCCTGCTGGGGGAGGGGCTTCCTTGTTTCCTCCCCTTCACCTGATCAATTACCCTTCAAGGCTGCCCTCAAATGTCGCCTCCTCGCATGACCTACCTGGGCACCCCCCTTCTCTACCTTTGGACTCCTCTGCTGCAGTTCTTGCAAAGCTCATGCTTCCTTTACCACGGCGGACCTCAACTGGAGGTGGCTGCGCCTCTCAGGGGACACTTGGTAATACGGGCATTTTCAGGTGGCCCATCTGGGAGGGTTCCTACTAGCATCTAGTGGGTGGAGGCCAAGAATGCTGCTGAACAGCCTTCAGTACCCGGGACGCGCCCCAGCCTCACCCACTTCCCCGAAACAAGGCACTCGCCACTGCACATGTTGGTAGTGCTTAGGTTGGGAACCCTTGCTTGGCAGCCGTTAGCAGCTCTCCATTCCCTCCTAGCTGGTCCTGCCACCTACCTGCCTCCTCCCGGAGACGTTTACCTCCCCCTGTCTGCAGGAGCCTCGAGACGCCCAAGTCCCAGACACAGGTGCTCAGTACACACCCAGTGACGAGCTCATTGTCATGAACGAGAAGCCCACTGCTGGCTAGTCCATTCTGACTCAAGATTTCTGGGGATCTGCCCCCCTTTTCCCCCCACCCCGGCCCTTGGTGGGTTTGAACTGCAGGCCATCCAGTTGGCAGCCCCGTGTATAATCCACGACACCACCGGGCCTCCTTAGATCAATGAATTAAGCTCACTCACTGCCGGTTGAGTGGATTCCCACTCATGACGACCCTGTAGGACAGGGCAGACCTGGCCCTGTGGGTTTCTGAGACTGTACATCTTTATGGGAGTAGAAAGCCTTTTATCTTTCTTCCTCAGGGTGGCTGGTAGTTTAGAACTGCTGACTTTCTGGTTAGCAGTCCACTGTGTAAGCTGCGATGCCACGAGGGCTCCTAGACCACAGTGAGAGCTAAGGCGTAGGCGTCACAGACCACCAGCCAATGCCCCAGGTGTTGACTGTGACTGCCTCCCTTTCACGGATGAAGAACTGAGCGAGGCGTCCGAGCGGTCTGTTACCCAGAAGCACAGGCAGGAATGACTCACCGGGCATCCCTCTCTGCTGCCATAAGGCCTTCCCTGGGGAAATTCCCAGCAGGGCTAGGAGCTGGACCGGATGGCAGCTCAGAAAGGCCTTTTCTGGGAATGGAGGGGTGGTTCTGGACCAAGTCGTTGTGCCATCTTGTGGCCACGAGGGGAGTTGCACTTTCACCAGCAGCGGGAAGGCCGTCCTGCCGCCCCTCCCGCTCCCCTAGGCTGCAGGAGTTCAGCCGAAGTAGGGAGCAGGAGTCTCATTCAAGCCGCAGGCAGGCCACTCACGGCTTCCTGCTCTGACTGCAACACAGGGGGGTCAGCAGGGACGTGGGCCGCACTCACCGAGGTGTAGGCCCGCCCGCACATGCTGCAGCAGTAGGCCTTGGCGTGCTTGATGGCGTGGGCAGACAGGTGGATCTGCAGGGAGGCGGAGTCGGAGTAGGCCCGGTAGCAGTTGGGACACTTGTAGGGCTTGTCCTTGTTGTGCTGGCGCTGGTGAGACTGGGGAGCACGGCCAGGGGTCAGCAGACAGGCAAGCCCTGCCCCCCTGCCATGCCCCTGGGACGGGGGGGGGGGCGCGGGGCAGCCGTGCCTCAGGTGGGCCGCCTGGCAGGCAATACTCACCTGGAGGTTGGAGAGCTGAGTGAAAGCCTTTTCACAGCCAGGATGTGGGCACTTGTAGGGTCGGTCGCCTGTGTGAATTCTGCAATGGGCAGCCTCGTGAGGTGGAGGGCCTTGGCAGACCGACGGGCCAGCCACCCTCGAGGCTCCCAAGTCCCCCGGCCCCATCCCACCCTCCCACCCCAGGGACCACAGCCTGCTGGGGACCAGGAGGTCCTGCTCCCCACAGGCCACCGCCAGGCCCTATGGAAGTCTGCTGCTTTCACTGCCTCCTGCCGGTCACAGCAGTGTCTGCTCATCCCTGCCCACCGCTGCCTTCAGAACCAAAGCGCCCCTGCCATGGAGGCGACCCTGTAGGGCGGGGTGCGCCCTGTGACTCTTCAGGAGAGGGCAAAGGCCGTCTCTCACGGAGCCGCTGGTGGTGTCAAACTTTGGGGAGCAGCCGGAACACAAGCGGGGCCCCACCAGGGCCGCCTCTTTCTGCAGGAGGAGCTATTTCCTGCTGGCTGTGAGGGCCTGAGCTCGTTGGTGCAGGCCCAACACGGTCGTCTCAGGCGGCATGGCATGGCGGGACACTGACACCCCCCTAAGCCCCCGACAGACCCTCCCTGTGAGCCCTGCCTGCCACCCCAACATGGCAGGGAGAAGAAAGAGGAGGCGCTTTGGAGACCCCCTACTCTCAGGGGTCCCACGCCGGCTCCCCTAGTGACTAACTGTGTGGGCTTGGGTAAATCGCCCAGCCTCAGTTTCTTCACCTGTACAGTGGGAGGAAAGCACAGGGCAGTGACTATCAGGTAACACATGGGAGGGAGGGGCGTCACAGCCAACGCTCCCAGCACAGTTTGCTCGCCCGACTTCCTTCCATACTGACGGCCCGCCGGCAGAGAACGGACCAGACTAACCACCGCCTGGGGACACCCAGGAGCAGCCGCGAGCCTGCCGCCCTCAGACAGCAGGCAGGGTGTGCTCCGAGGAGAGGGGCCTCGTGAGGGTCCAGAGAGAAGGGAGGAGCTCAGGGTGGGCCTCACTGAGAAGGTGACACCGGTACGGGCTTGTTACGGCTCATGCTGGTCACCTGTGTGCAGGTGGTCAGTCTGCAGGTGATGCACTCAGGCTGGGCGCATGCGGCCGTCTTCACACGCCAGCGGCTGACTCCTTCTGGGCTAGGCTTTCATCCTCGTGCCCGGCAAACTCTCTACATGCGCGCAGTACGTGCATTTCGTCTCGCTCGGATTCACTATCAATGCTTATGGGAGCGGCGGTGGAGAGATGGAACGACGCGCTGCTTTGGGTCAATCCGCTGCAGCTCCTCAGGGTCACAAAATAAGGTTACCTGGGGGCTACAGCGCATGGGGCCCAAGCCATGGCGTTTGCAGTCGCCTCCCATGCATGCGGACGCTGGACAGGGAATAAGGAAGGCGATGGGGCTGGTGAAGAATACCGAAAGGGCCACGGATACCCCAGACGACAAACGGATAGATGTGTCTTGGAAGACGCACAGCCAGAGTGCTCTCCAGAGGGGAGGCCGGCGAGACTGTGGACACGTTCTCAGGACAGACCAGTCCCTAGAGAAGGACACCATGCTTGGTCAGGCAGAGGACAGGGAAAAAGACCCTTGACAAGATGGAATGACGCCGTGGCAGCACCAGGCTCACCAGGACAATGGGGAGCGTGGCAGAGGTCTGGCAGTGTTTTCTCCTGTTGGGCCCAGGGTCACAGTCAGTTGAACGGACTCGACGACTGTCTCCGGGCAGTGAGATGCCAGCCGAGCCAGAGCTTTGGTTGCTGAAGTTGCAGTAAGTAGAGGAAGAATCCAGATCAGGCCGCCCCGGGCCGCCCCGGCCCCAGCCCTAGCCCACTGAGCATCTCCTCATCAACGGGCCTCTTGGGCCAAACAACACTCCTTCCTGCCCAGTAGCCACTGGTACTGGCTGCCCACCGTGAACACTGAGAAGGTCTGATTCCTCAGCAGGCCACTCCGAGCCCTCACCGTGAGGTCCAGTTTCAATTCCTTTCTCCTTAAGTGCCCTCCCTGTGCCCTGGTCCCTGAGAACCGATTCTTTTTACTTCCGGTGAAAATACACAGAGCAGCGCATGCACCTGGACCACAATTTCTACAGGTACAGACTGGCGACACCGGCTGCATCCTTCCCGTCTCAGCAACAATCTCACTGGTTTCAGTCCATTAACTGGAGACCCCCCGCCTCGTCTTCTCATCTGTGCTCGAGAGCTGCTGCTGCTGTCAGCTTGGTTTCCGATGCCCCAGACGCCCCAGGCGTACATCTGTCCCAACGGGGTGACGTGGCTGTGGCGCAACGATGACTTCGGGAGACAGTTTCGGTTCCGACTGTAGAAGGTCTTGAACCGCAGCCGGTCCGCCGACCACGTCCAGCCTCACCACCACGCCAGGGCCCGACGCGTCCTCAGACCCACACCGGCCCCTTGTCATCCTCTCAAAGCCGGCACACACCTCATCCCCGCACTGGCGCCTCGGGGCTCTGGGGGCCCACCCATGGAGCCGTGTCCTCGACTAGATGGGGGCCCGGGGCAGGGACGCAAAGTGCAGGACACAGCGCAAAGACCAAATCCAGCCGGGCCAAGTGGAACTGCGCCGAGCTGGTTCAGAGAACTTCTGTTCTACGCGTGTGTTTCTGGGTGTGCTGGGTTTGGGGGCAGTGCCCCAAGCCACTGAGTGTCACTAAGAAAATACCTTAAGAGTCACCTGGGCCCGCTCCACCTGTGACCAGAGTCTTCACCATTCTTTCCTGCTCTCACGTCCCTCTAGTTGGGGTCAGGTGGCACCGGGGTCCAAGGGTGCTGCCTTCTCTCCCACCTTGGCCCTGAGCACATGCACCCCTGCTTCAGATCAACCACGTCCAGCCAGCCGGCAAGAGGGGATTGCCGCCCCCTCCACAGACATGCATCCATCAACGCATAGCGTTTACTCTTCTTGGTGATGTTTGTACGTCTCAGGTGATGTTTGTAAGTCACACGCTGCTGACCTGACTGTCTGCATCGCCAGCGCTCTGTAAGGATCACAGAGGGACCTGGAAAGGCAGGTAACGCCCCTTGAGTCGATTCTCGCTGGCATCCCACCCCCCCGCGCCTTTCTCCCAGAGGTCGAGGTGAACACCCCCCTGCCAGAGGGCTTCCCGAACACCTGGACCACGAGGAGCCTGCAGGGTCAGGCATGGAGTAGCGCTGGGACGAGGACCCGCATCCCTGCGGTCATTGCCACCATACCTGAAGAAGCAAAGGGCACCTTCCTCTGCCACACTGGGCGTCGCTGGCGGGCTCAACGAAACCCAGAGCAAGGCATCCTGGGTAAACAGCCCAGCGCCTCTTGTTCTCAAATGAAAGGCCAGCCTTGAGGACTTTCCTCATGAAACCATGCTGGCCTGGCCGTCTGCAATCTGAAACCTGCTAATACAGGATGACCTTGACACACCTGTCAGGTGGGCGATGCCAGGGCTACATTCCACCCATGGAGACCCTGACTGTCCACGTTGGTTTCTCTGCTCCATCAACATTAGAGGTGTCTGCTCTCTGGAGCGCTGTGCTTCTGAAGGAGCCCTGATGGCACCGTGGTTATGCACTGGGCTGCCAACCGCACGGTCAGCGTGCCAGAACCACCAGCCGCTCCACGGGAGAAAGGCGGAGTTTCTGCTCCTGTACTGAAGGGTTCCCGTCTCGGGATCCCACAGGGCCACTGGACTTCAGCAGAGCCTTGATGACAGTGAGCTTGGTTTGGATCCTCTGAAGGCTGATGGCCAGCCAGAGCCCTGCGCAGGCCGCTGACATTTCCGTCCCAGACCCAGCAGACCCACGGGAGCGCATTGAAAGGGTGCCCGGCCCCATCAGTCTAGGCTCCTGGGCCGAGTCCTGTCCATGCCCTGAAGTCCATTCTCTCTTACTTTGCGGAGGCTGGCTGTGCTTCGGACACAAGCTTACTTGGTTCCTTTGGTCAGTCAGCACCAGTTGGCACTGGGAAGATGGGATGGATTCTATGATCTGACTGTCTGGTTCTCAGTCAACAAGAAGACCTCATGGCAGTTATATAATCTCCTGTCAACTTGTGAAGGGGTGGAGTCTAGTCTGTCAATCAGGCCACAGCCAATGAAGCTTCCGTGTGGGCATGGCCTTCTCCTGAGGATTCCGGGAACACCTGTCTTCCTCCCTGGAGGCTGCAGACACTCCCTGCTTCGTTTTCTTGCTGACAAGCCACATGGAGCTACCCTGATGCAGCTAGAGCCCTGGAACTGGAGCCCCACGGCAGCACTGAGATGCTTCCACCATCACTGGATCCACAAGACTTTCCACCCACTGGCCTGTGATCTTCCTGTATTCAGCATCATTTCATGGCTGCGTGAGTCTACAGAGGAATTTAAGGACTAGTATTGACATACAGGGTAATATCGGACTTATGGACTTGATCTGGGCTGAGCTGGGATGTTTTCTTAATGTACAATTACTCTTTGATATAAAGTTCTCTCTTACACACATATGAGTGTCTCTGGATTTGCTTCTCTAGTCAACCTGGACTAACACAGACCTATTTGCTTTTCTTTCTTTTTTATTGTGTTTTCAGGTTTTTTTTTTAAGTCTGTTTTTGGAAACAGCAGTCAAGCGACGAGACGACACATTGCACTGGGTGAATCTGCGGCACAAGACCTCGTTAAAGTGTCGAAGAGCAGGGAGGATGCTCTGAGGATTACAGTGCACCTGTCCCAAGCCATGGTATTTTCAATTGTCTCATATGCACTTGAAGGTTGGCCACTGAATCAAGAAGACCAGGCAGTTATCGATGTGTTTGAATGATGGCGCTGGTGACAAATACTGAAATTACTATGGACTGCCGGCAGGACAAACGCATCTGTCTTGGAAGACGGACAGGCAGAAGACTCCTTGGAGGCAAGGATGGCGAGCCGTCAACTCCCCTCCTTTGGACACAATTCCTGTAAGGACTCGTCTTTGGAGAAGGATATCATGCTTGGCAAAGCAGAGGGGCAGCGCCAAAGAGCCCTTGACAAGCTGCCACGACAGAGTAGCTGCAACTACGGGCTCAAAACAGCCACTTTCGCG